TCCCCCTGCGAGGTCAGTGGTCTAACGACTACGGCATGCACGACCATGAGTGCACCCCCACTCCCCGCATCTCGTGAGGGTTGTCACCTCACCTGGAGGTAGAGCTTATCGCAATAGTACGTGTCCTGGTTCGTATGGTTCCACACCGCTTCCTCGACATCCTCCAGCGCAAGGGGCTTCGGAACCCTGCCGCCGTGGTCGTCGTCGTTGATACAGTTGAGTTGTAGTTGCGGTGTTGCGGTGTTGAGGTTCATGTTGTTGTTGTTGTGTTGCGTGGTACAACGTTAGGGTCGCCGCTAACGTGGTGTTGGGGGTCTAATGTTGGTACTGCAGGCATCGGCTCAGGGTTATATTGTCGGAAGGGAGCGGCCTGACTACTGCCGTGATGCGAGACAAGATTCGCAAGAACGGACGGACATCGCATCGGGCACAAAAAAAAATGAACGTTTCGGTAGGGCGGGGTGACGGTCGCGTTTTTCTCGTGAAATTACAAGTGTACCGTTTCAGGTTCCCATCGAAACACAAAGCACATATTGCTGCGGAAACAAGCGGTTCGTTCATTATATTATCGAAAGACGTCTGTTCAAGAGGAGCAGCAACACAACGACAAGCCTCGTTTGCAAGCTGTGTTGGTTAGTTCAAACCGGCGTTCATCGGAAATTTTACATGCCTTGTGCTGTACGACGAGCACAGGGAGCTCACGGCCGACGAGATGTTGCTGAGCGTGCTGCTGAGCGTGTCCGGCCGACCGTTGGTCCTCGGGGCCCTCGACAAACGGTCCCGTCCCCCTCCCGACAACGCCAGCCTGGCATGGTGGAACGTCCCCTGCGGTGACGTCATCGCCGCCGCCCCCGTCGTTTTTGGTGGTGGTGGTGGTGGTGGCGGTGGTGGTGGCCATTTCGTTCCGGGGCAGAGAGCATTAGGAGGGGACAGACACGTGGGTGGATCGGCGGGTGGACAAGATGGATCTTTCTGTGAGTTGGATACGGGTTGCGCTCTCGATGGCAGTTGTGCACGTTGCAACAATGTGATCAAACGTATATAATAGTTCTCTCCGGCACGCGTTACAGAAAAAATTCTATCTCGCAGCAGTGTTTTAGCCAGAGGCATGCGCGGCAGAGGAAAAAGAACAGTGTTCCACATTGCAATGCGAACCGTGATGTAGTGCTCTCCTGCATGCGTTGCAAGAATATGCTCTCTCGCAGGAATATTTCACCCAAAGGCACGCGCCACGGAGAGGAAATATTTTTCCACGGGACCCCCCCCCCCCCTCGATGGCAGCTCTTTAGGAGAGAGATGCGGTACACACAAAAATGGCTGTGCAACCAAGGAAGGGATGTGGCTGAACAAGACCGACCACCGGCCGATGCCCTCTCCTAAGGCTGTCTGGTCTGGATCAGGCACAGTACTACAGCGAATCACTCCGAAAAAACAGAGTATAAAAAACGTGTAAGTACCAATCGAGTTGGTCCGAGAAAACACATTTTTTCACACGGAACAGAAAAACGACACCAAAAAAATCAGGTGAATGAAGTAACACTCGCGAGGCGTTCTCAAAGGTAGGGGGGAAAATACAAAAAAACTCAACCTAAACTTACCCTGAGGCAGTTCGTTGCAAAGGTGTTTTGCATCGCCTTTGGTGTGTTGTTTCTTGTTCTCATTCTCAGAGGATAGTACGGTACAGCAGTATTCAGACACCAGGTGCAGCCGCTTCCGTTCTTAGTTCTCGCTCCCACGAAAACAAACCACTGCACTCAACAAAACGGACTCACGAACCGTTTCTATCTCTACTCCGGAGAGTAGCTCAGCCTTCCCCCTTGACGCCTCCTCACGGAGTCCCACATCATGCCAATGACCTTCAGAAGAAACACTTCATGTTTTTTCAGCCGCACAGAGAATGACGTCTTCTCACTGGTCAGACGGTTAGCGCGGTGGATGCTAAGAACAGAAAACACATCCACAAACCCACCCACTTCTTCTTGTTATGTTTTTTTCCCTCCCTCTCACCTCCGCCACGACGCACAGGTCTTCCAGCAGGCCGAAGTCCTCCGGCCCCACGCCGACGCCGTGGAAGGTCAGCCGCCGCCGGAAACGCTCGCGCATGGTCCGCAGCCAGTACGCCGGCGCCTGCTCCCTCTTGCACGCCGCGTTCATGTCTCTCGGCTATTCCATTTTTGTTTTTTTCATTGTTGTTTCGTTTTGTTTCGTGGGCGACGGCGGTGGTACTCGGTCGTCAAGCGTGCTTCGAGGCGGGCGTAGGTAGCACATATTGATAAATTGCTATTTAGATGTAGGTCACTGATGTTGTTGTTGTTGTTGTTGTTGTTGTTGTTGTTGTTGTTGCTGCTGCTGCTGCTGCTGCTGCTGCTGTGGTCGGTGTGATTTCCATTGCCGGTGATCTCGTTGTCACCAAACCCGCTCCTGATCTCTGTCTGTTTGTCTCTCTCTGCCTTGGTAGTTTTCGAAGCTGATCGTTTCTCAGTTTCCTCAACATACCCGAAGCAACTTGCGTCTAGAAGCGACTGGAGTCTAGAAGCGACCTACGTCTAGCCATACTCGCTCACCTCTCAAACAAGGCGCTCCTTCATAGACGGCAAGAACAACGACACGGGGACGACGTGCATCAAACGCAACTTGGTGGCACAGCAGTGACCCTTTCGCCTCAGGCATGAAAAATAAAAAAATAAATCGATAACAATTTCCAGACCAGGTTGTTGGGGCACATTCCCCGTCAAAGAGAAAAACAATCGCGAAAAAAACATGGCACAGCAGCAGTAACCAAGGTATGTGGGCGGGAAAAAAACACGCGCGCCTACATACATAGGGTCACTCAACCCAACTCACCCTTCCATCGGACAAGAAGATGAGGACGAACTGCTCCCCGGCGTCGTTGACTCCTCCGGAGGCGACGTCCCACGCGCTCCCCAGCCCTTCCCCGTAGGCGGTGCCGTGCGTCGGCCTGATCTTCGCCTCTAGGTCCTGCGACATACGCGATAGTTGTCGCTCGCGTGTCAGGCACGAGTGACGAGGCACTGCTGTAGTGGTAGCGGCCGGGTTTGTCGTGTACTCCCTTGCTGTTTTTTCAAAGGGCTTGGTGAGGACGAAAATCGGTGTGGAGTGATGGCCGGTTGAAGAGATCTACTACCTCGTGCGAAGAGCCGGAAGTGCAGCGAGTCGAGCTTGAAGGCTCTCTGGAGAGACCCTATGCAACAATCTGGAGAGACCCTATGCAACAAAGCGCATCATGTATTTTATGCCTGACTACTGGGGGGTTGTTGCTGCTGATGATGCTACTGCTGCTGCTGCTGATGATGATGCTACTGCTGCTGCTGATGATGATGCTGCTGCTGCTGCTGCTGCTGCTGCTGCTGCAACACGTAAGGTTACGTTATGCGATTCGCGGTGAGGAGGGACAGAACAAAGCCAGTCTCCTTCACTTCAGCCTCCCGTGAGAGGCTAGCCCACACACCCGCACATACCCACCCATCCCGGTGTGAGAGCACTTCAAGACGACTGGCGAAACATGATGTGGATCCGTGGACCCTGTCACCCCCGAATATTTTCTGAAACGGTTGTTATGCTAGACGACACACCCGCCAACGTGGCAGATCGCAACACAGCGGCGGCTACGGTACATGCTCGCGTTTCGACGGCGACTCAACGGCAACAGCCCAAACACACAATACAACACACACCAACGCACACACGTTTCAACAGGTCAACCGCCAAATGAAATACTCCTCTCGCCTTTCTCAGGGCGTATAGATTCCTCCCGTGCATGGACTTCCCCCTCAGCTGAACCTTGGCGACATCGTTGAACGAGATCACGCTGTACCGGTCTCTGCTCGAAGAGTGCTGATTGGCCAGCTGGTCCTGAACAACGACGACAACGACGACAACGACAGCGACAACAAGACGTGCTTGAGACAGGGGCAAAACGGTGCTGCAGGAAAGGCGGTGGTGAAAGCGACGATTCTGCAGAGCGAAACGGGGTCCGATTGTAGAGTGTTGGTTAGACTTATTGGTGGCGATAAGAGTCACGGGTGGGTGGGTGGGTGGGTGGGTAGTGGTGGTGGTGGTGGTGGTTGATTCTTCTCACCGTGGCGAGTAATCTTGGTGTCCAAAGAAATGTGTTCCGGACACCTCACAACCCTCCAAGCCGGACACGAAAGCAAACGCCCGTCACTAGGAATATACTGCACGCGTATGATATCGTCATGGTGCCCGGGTTTCAGCCTTCTCAGACAGACGGAACACGTCACGTGTGGATAAAAAGCGATAAAAGAACCGAGA